GTTTGTAAGTAACGATGTGTCAGCAGTCTGGGGACATATCATGGCATTTTATATAGTGTATTAATAATATATAATCATGTCATGAATGGGTCAGACGAAAAATCATTAGGTCATGTACAAAAAAAAGGGTTTTTCTATTTTTACCTGTAAATTAGCAAGGGCTTGGCATGAAGGGGAACCAGTGCAAAGGAGTAGTTAGACAGGACAACATGTTTGGATTTATTAAATATCTTGAAAAATGTGATCCCTCGGAAGCATTAAACAGCGAAATTACATGAAAATTGCAGACTCGGTTTGATTGAGTCATTTTCACATTGTAAGGGAACATTTGCTTAGTGGTTAAGGTGTCTGCTTCTCAACCTATTGGTCTTGGATTCAAGCCTTACTAACGTCACGAGCATGTTTCCTCATATGAGACCTTTACTGGTTAGTCCCGACAAGCTGTCATGAAAATGTATATAAGTTGCATGAAATTGCTTTCACAGTCGGGTTGAACAAAACTTTCATAGTGCAAAGGTCGCATTACCAATTTATAAAAGGCGGGAGATTTTCCCTTTACTTCTTTAGTATCTCGGATTGGTTGCCCACAGTTATCTATGTTTGGCTTAAATATTTTCAATTTTCATTTATGCATAGAGATGAGACTTTCCCCCTTATTTTTGCTTCAACTAAAGTAACTATTTAAACATATGCTTTTAACTGCATTTGTTTACTTTCTCAATAAAATATTCTGATCAGAGGATATGTTACTGTAAAGATTAACTTCAATATCAGTGACAGTCATAAAAGCAAAATGACAGTCATAAAAGCAAAATATTTACAAACTAATACAGGAGACAATTTCCTGACAGCAAATATCAATCTAAAGCAAATATTCAAACAATGGCAACAACAAATTCATCCTTGATTTCTCGGTAAAGGTTCTCGGAACATTTTAAGTGGCCAACACACTAGAACGAGGAACGTCAATACAGTTAGAGACTTGCCACGTGGCAAGATAATTAAATATTGACAAATACTCTATCAAGTATCATTTAAGGTCGTTTAACAACGTATTCTGTTAATTAAACGAAGATGAAACAGACGATAAAATCATTTATATTGTTTCTCATTTTGTGGGATGACAACCATATTGTAATTAAAGAACAATCAAAAGCGGCATGAAAATATTCCACTTTAATCAGATTTACAAATTGCCCTATTATACAAACAGTCCATCGATATGATATTCTTTCGTGCATAAATCTTCATGATGATTGCCTGTCGATACATGTATATAGTTACATGTATATATTTACATGAATATAGCGTTTATTGAAACCAAAATGTGACCCGTTGTAATAGATTATAGCAAAATTCATTGCAGATTTTATTTATATTTTGCTTTATTTTTTGTTATTGATTTTTGCTTGCTTTACAGAAACAAAATGAATATAATAATAATAATAATAATATAATAATAATAATAATAATAATAATAATAATAATAATTATAATAATAATAATAATAACAATAACAATAATAATAATAATAATAATAATAATAATAATAATAATAATAATAAAAAATAATATAACAATAATAACAATAATAATAATAATAATAATAATAATAATAATAATAACAATAATAATAATAATAATAACAATAATAATAATAATAATAATAATAATAATAATAACAACAACAATAATGATGCGCATTTCTTATTATGTAAATACTTTTGTCAAAGAAAATGAATTTTCAAGAAAAAATGTCAGTGACACAGAATGGGAAGACTCGAACAGTAAAACGCAGATACATGTATTTCGATTTATCCGGAAGGATTACAATGTATATACACTATACTTGTTCACTTTGTTTGCGTACTTTCAAGATAACCTTGGATGTACTTTAATTTTGCATATTAAACAGGTAACATAAAATTAGGACTAACAATGTATTCAGCATAGTCGAATTAAAAGCTTTAAGCTTAATCTTGTTATCCTAATTACATTAAACGCGCGCGCTAAAACGACAAAAGCGCGTGTTACCTAGGTGGCACGCGCCAGCACGCGTGTTGATGCAGACGGATTTAGCTGACAGCCACTTAAAGCAACTCTGCTGTTCAAATTTACAAATCATCTAAGGTCACACTAAAAGTCAAAATCAAGCATGAATCTTCAAATAAACTCATAAAAAACACGAAAACTTGTCATGGTTTTAAGATGGAAAACTGTCACGTGACCGGAAGTTTCAGATGTTGGTACAAGCAAGCGCGAATGTACGATGAAACGGCGGTGAAAGTGTCAAGTTGAAACAAATAGAAATAAAGATAATCTTCCACTTAGAATGAAACTAGATATGTATGCCTTTAGCAAAAGCTTTTAGCTCCTCGTGTTATGTTGAAAAAAATCACATTAACTTCATTTTATTGCAAACAATATTGAAAAACGTATAAAGTTATAAAAACAGACGATAACTGTGTAAACGTTTGGGCCACGGCGACTCAGTTTCAGAAACAAAAATATGTTAATCTAAATAAAATCGATGTATCTAAATATCATTCTGATGGAAAATAACAGAACATAACAAATCAAAATCAAATAAGGATCCGACAATTGAAGAAGATAAACTTCACTTGTGTATACACATATGTTCATATATACATGTATATGTGTGTATATTCATTGTGGCTGGTAACAAATTAAGGCGTGTCCACAAGAGGCTGTGGATGCAAATTCAGAGAAACACCAACAACTCCGTTTCTAAAACAGAAATGACTGTCATCAAATTTAGCCAAATTGTACAAGGCCGAACCTGCAATCCATTGACTTGTAGTACTGCAGTGTTCGGGTTTTATGACTACATGCCAACTTTGTACTCATGTACCCATGATTCCCTGGTTGAGTGCCAGGCACCTTATACCCCGGTCACATATTCACGGAATACGCCCACGGAAGAGCCACGGATTAATTCCGGCATCGTCCGTAGCTACCCGTACTGGTCAGTAGCTCTCCGTATTGTAACCGTAATCAATCGTAGTAGTCCTGGTATATCCGTAGCGATCCTTGACAATTTTTGAACATGCACAAAAATTTGCTACGGAAAAATCAACCGCAGCGTATCCCTGCTAGTCCGTATTAAACCGTACTGATACGTACTGGTCCGTACGAAAACCGTACTAGTCCGTACTGATTCGTAGCCAACCAACTTTTCAAGGATTTCCACGATTTGGTACGGAGAACTACGTTTTAGTACGGTTACCCTACGTTTAAGCTACGGTTTTAATACGGATTAATACGGAAAGCCACGACCGTAATACGTTGTACTACGGAGAGACAGGGATTAGCACGGTCTTATACGGTTTATTGCGTTGCAACACGGACTTGTACGGTCCACCACTGTTTAGTACGGATTAATTAAGTATCATGTACTTTCCAAGGGTATTACCTTCTTGTTAAAAACAAACATATTTGCGGGAACATTCAATAAACGATAATTGCCATTTACTGGCTGCAATTTTATATTGAAATGGCTCAGAATGCGCAGGCAGTGGTCGAGCTGCTAGATGACATGTATAGAGGAAAAATTCGGCTCTCATGGCCGAACTTGTTGAGAACCCAGCGTCCTTCAAGAAATTCACTTTTATCGGACCTGATGTGTCTAGGGGGTCAGACGCGATCAGGCCGAATCCTCTCCGCCGAAATCATTAAACTCTGCAATTCGTTTTCCAGGTGTCCTTTTCTTATGAGGCATTTTGAAAATGAGCATGCAAGAAATTGTGGACGGATGTATTAGGTCCGTATAGATCCGTGGCAATTCGTTCTTCTCCGTATCAATTCGTGCTTCTCCGTATCAGGCCGTACTTATTCGTACTAACCCGTGCTTATACCGTAGCAGACCGTAGTGTATCCGTAGTGCGTCCGTCCTAATTCGTGTCGCTCCGCATCAAACCGTGCCGGTCCGTAATAATCCGTGTCTCTCCGGGGAATTTTGGTGGTAAATCCGTCGGACTCCGTACTTATACCGTTGTGTGTCCGTACTGGAACCGTAGCGGACTACAGAATTTCACATTTCCGTAGTAATCCGTGAACGATTAGACCGTAGCTCTTTCGTGGCATTATCCGTGAATATGTGACCGGGGCTTTAACCACTAGGCCACCACTTCCCTTAATCAGTTTAGCTAAATACATTTATTTCAGCTCGATTTTGAAGCATACCTGAACAATTCTTGATACAGCTTCCTGAACTTTACAAGTACTTAAACAAGGCTGTGATTGGAGCAGGGTTCGAACCTTTGATTAAAAGACACATTGATACTAAAGTTCATCTGAGACGAGAGGCCACTGTGCTATTATTGAACATTAAGCATATTTTTCGACACTTCAATATAAGTTTTATCGCATGTACATGTATATCATGCATGTATTTGAAGAAAAATAGTCGTTGCCGAAGTTATATTCTTGTAAAAATTTTTATTGCAATTGTATTTACTTCACGATTTGCATAATAAATGACGTAAATATCGGAGAAAAGGAAAATATCATTTTCTGACGAGCTCTTACATTTAGCGAGAGCCTAAAGGCCTGTCTTCGTAGCAGGTGCTTGGTCAATAAATATCCAAAATAACATCTTAATTGACACCATCTTTTATTTCAGCCGACTATTCAATTACACTTTTTCCCTCCAATTATGACCATCGCTGATTTGTTTATAAATATTAAATGAAGGTAATTTCCGAAATGATAAAATTCTGCAATGCAGATTGTTTGTGAGTTTCAAGAAAGGGGAAATGGGAACGTTTATAAAAGACGGCGATGTTGGTGACACCATAATAATCAAGCAGAATTTCTTAAGGAACAATGTTCCACACAATTTGACGGTAATTTTCAGAACATGGAATATATCTAAGCCTTTTAAATAAAAAATTACATTTTTAGTTACAGAAGTTTACGAATAGATAAAAATGGAGTGTGTTGTGTAACATGTGTAATCAACTTTCGGATTATCTATAAAAATGACATCTTTCGAACAAAATGTGAAAGCTACGTGCCGAATGAATCGGCGCCAGTGTGGCGAAAAGGCATTAAGAAAACGAATAAAAAGAACTGGTAAAACGGTTTATAAGCACGTGCCTCACAGCGAGAAGCCGCCACATCTCGTTGCCAGGAGAAACGCACGTGAGAGACGGCGCGTTGAAACGGTAAACAACGCGTTTCTAAGGCTAAGAAAACATGTACCGATGGATATAAAACACAAACGCCTGTCAAAAGTTAAAACGCTTCGGTACGCCATTGATTATATAAAGCGTTTGACAGCCATGATTGATAATCATGACAAACATTTTGGAGCACCTTGTTGCAATTTTGGACGTTCTGTTTCCATGGTTACCCCAAACGCCGAGGAACGCGGAAGGCTGATCTACAAAGCACGTGACATTAACACGGAAGTGACGTCGTATGGATGGTTTTCTTCTCCGTGACTAAAGCTTTTCGTAACAATTCATGTTTAGATAAGAAAATGTACTTGGAAACAGAAGAACAAGCGTTTACTGACTGATTCAAGCAAAACTACACCTTTATACATAAAAATGTCTAAACACTTTTAACCTCAGATAGTCATCTAAAATATCTTGACGTCATGATTTACATTTCATTTGAAAGTCGGCCAACTGAAGCATTAAAAAATAACAATCGTATAATTCATTACTTCAAATACATTTTATCTAATTTTTGGCTTAATTAGAATTTACAATCTTGAAATTGTAAAGTATTGACACAAAATATTTCAGAACATCGTAATTTCAAAATAAATATCAATTTTCTTTTTGAAATTAAGTCAAGTCATTATAGAAAATTGTTACTAAATTTGTATCATTTATTCAATGTTAGTTTAAAACGACGCATTTTCATGATTTATAAAGATACAGTCGTTGGTTTTTGATACACGCTTACTTTTTTAAGCTATCTTACTTTTATATCTGCATTAGATATACCAATTTATTTGAATAATTACTCATTTATGTCTATTAAGGCCATATTCGTTAATCGAAAATAGTCTGTTTCATAAGTGATCGTCTCTTAAAGCGGACACGTTTGTATCATACTAATTCACCTGAGATAGGAATGGTGGCATTTTGTGTTTTTATGAAAATACTAAATATAATGTTAAAGATAATGGTTTTTTGTTTTTTGCTTTTTTGTATTTTGTTTCTGGAAGGTTGAGTTTTAAATATTTATTTTTTTCTTACTGATAAAGTTGAAGACAAAGCCCTGTTTTGATTAATTAGTCTGTAATGTAACCCACGTGACAATAAGAATCTTAGCTACGAACTCATTAGTGAGCTCGTGCAATGAATGCCAAATGTTTAGAAATCTCAGACCCTCGAGCCACACCGGTTTCGTGCCGGTGAACGACTGCAGAAATACATAATTTTTATGTTTTTCATATTTCACAAAAAAAATATTGATATCCACAGAAATCCGGCATTTTAACTATAATTCTGTTTAAGTAATGTACATGAAGTAAAGCCATGAAGACAATCACAATAAAAAGAGAAAAAAGCATCGCTTTCTGATATCTTCAATGTACAATTGTTGTACATGTATTATAAGCACATCTTTAGATTTTTAGACAAAAACATTTAAACAGTAACCAAGTGATTTATAATTCCCCCTTTTTGATGTTCATTTGTTTGGCAATCTTACATTTCTGTTTAGAAATACTCACTTGTAATCTATGAATAAATAACATGTTTACATACTTTAAAATATATACTAAAGTTGGTTAATATTCTACTTTTTAATTGAACAACTACCTTCTGGTTGTGAAGAAAATTACTTATTGGCCTTTTAAAACATGATTACATCGCACCTATGCTTTGGTAATTAACATATATTACATTTATATTTATATGTAGTACTTTCTTAACGGAAATGTTAGTAAAAATCTATAAATGTTAAAATGTTAAAAATGTTAATGAAAATGTTACCTAGGAAAACTGTTTTTCTTAGTCTCAAAATTGGTACTATATTATTTTGTTTCGATAGGTCAAGATTCTTTATTGACATTTCTCTCTGGCCAAAAGGTCCTTGTTCGTTGTAGGCATTTAAGCACAGAATTTTATTGTACGTTAAACATATTTTAACTCGTTTCTGCGACCTTCAGCTCCGTATGATTGATCAGGGTTCGTTAGGAACAACCACACACGGACTTCATGATGACTTATTTATATCCCCATGTTTTATTTGACTCGTTTGCCGCACCATAAACCGCCATTGCTCTATCACTCGACTGACAAATCAAAGTATCTAGCTTTCTTTATTGTGATATTTGGTTAAACATTTTATTTGTATGTACTATCACTTCAGACATATATAATACCACGCATTCTATTTAAAATGCTTTTTTTACCGACCACCAGTTAGCATCGTTAAAATGATTTAACCTTTGCCCACCAACGCCGCCGACGAATTTGTGCACATAATTTGCGCACTATGTGCATTAATTTCATCAGCTTAATGGAATTTCGACTTGAAAACTACTAAATTAGGTTTTAACAATATCTATTTCTTCTTCTTCTGTATTTACAAACAAAATTTCAATACATAAATTACATCAAGGATTGGGTAGAAAGCTTAAAGCAGCACGCCTCCAGATAAATGTTTATTTTCATGAAAATTTTGAAAATGTAATTTAAAGTTTAATGTTGGATAGTAACCAAAAGGAAGCATTTCACACATTACCAATGACACTTACAACCCACGATTAATTACAAAAAGATTCAAAATTTGCAAAAGATGCTCTTATTGCTTTAGTAACGTAGGTGAAATATAGGTGAAATATATTTATACATAATGAAAAATTAACCATTAATCGCTCCTAACCGGTAAATTATTACATGAATATTGAATCTTTCCTCTTTTCCTAAAATTTTCGTACATTTTTCTCAAGTTTGATTTTATTGAAATAATTTTGCTCATCTGGAGGCATGCTGCTTTAAAGCTTCTGAACAACTAAAGTTGAACGTTCAAACTCCAAACATTTTACTACCCGTTTTAAATATATTTTGCATACCTTATACATTTTGTATTTATCTTTGATAAACATGTAAGTAAAAATAGTACATGTATAAATTGAGCAGCAAACAGTGCAGAAAAGTCTGGTCACATTGCAGACTTTCCTTGCGCCATTTTTTTGTGATATAAATCCATTTTTAATTAACCCTAAAATGCTGTCTTAACTTCCATTTTTTTTATTTGAACTGCCCTGTAACACCGCACTTTGGGGTCAAACGCACTTTGGGGTCCGACCCCAAAGTGCGTTAAACTTCGCACCGCACTTTGGCGTCAAACGCACTTTGGGATCTAAATCGAGAAATTGACCCCAAAGTGCGTTAATATGCTACATATCAACGCACTTTGGGTTCAAGAGGTCTAAAGGTGTCATCTGAGTTCTGCTTAAATACTGAGTACTGACTTATTTTCTATCTGCGACATTGGAATATTTGAGTTGGAATTCAAGATGGCGGTCAATACTTTATGATGCTTAAGTGATAAAAGTTTCATTAATTTTACCACTTGAAAAATCTAAAAATTGTGTTCATATAACAAAATTACGGTGGCATAAAAGTGACATTTGCATTTTTTTGTTTTTAGTTTTGTATACATATTTTATTTTAGTTTTGCATACATATTTTTTTCAGTTTTGCATTCATATTTTATTTTTGTTTTTCGTTCATATGTTATTTTTGTTTTTCATACTTATTTTAGCCAATCAAAACAGCCTTCAAATCTCATAACAGCCCATAGTTGAGTATAAAACTAGCAGAGTGGTTAGGTCACATTTCGGCCCATTTTTGGAATCGGCCCAGTCGTTTTCGGCCGGGCAAGTCTGGTTTCGGGCGACCCTATTCGGCCCTTTTTTATATTATATGTATTTTATTTAATTATTGTTTTATTATTATATACTGATATATAAGTGTCTATTTGAAAAGGGCTGTTGATTGGTGATCAGTTATTATTCCATGAATATGCACCACTAAACCCCACCCCCTGAGAATTATGAAACTTAGGTCAATTCCTTAGCACATCCAGATAATATACAGAACTTTACGCCAGGTGTGCCGGCTCAAAGTCGGGGTCACAGCTACAGGTCAAAGGATAAAGACTTGAGACCATATGCAGAACCTTTCTTTTGGTTACCGCGGATACTAAAAAATGAAAATGTTGGTATTTGCAAATGGCATTTGCAAATAGGGTACTGTAATTTACATATGGCGAAGTGTTTGAAAATGGTGTTTAACAAATGGTGTAATTATCCAAACCTCTACTTTGCAAATGGCGTCATGTAAAAACATGTACGAAAAAAAAAACAAAAATAAAATATGAAAAAAGAACTAAAATAAAATATGTATGCAAACTTAAAAAGAATATGTATGCAAAACTAAAATAAAATATGTATGCAAACTAAAAAAGAATATGTATGCAAAACTACATGTAAAAAAATATCTACGACAAACAAACAAAAATATGTACAAAAAACAAAAAAAAAGTATAAAAAAATACAAATGTCACTTTTATGCCACCGTTCAAAATACTCTAGTACATAAATTGTGTATTCCTAGAATTAAAAGATGCTGCGAAAAGTATCCCGTTCTGTCGGTCATTTACTTGATAACTTTTGGTGCCATATTGAGCCCCATTTTAAATATGTTGGGAATGAAAAAAATGCAGTTAATGTCTTTTTCCAAAGAACTATAAATATACTCTATTGCAATGTTCTGGTGAAATTTTTTTTCGATCGGACTTTAAAAAAAGATTTTTACAAAAACATTATTAAGCTTATCAAAAAAACTTAAGTGTTTTTGTAAGCTCCGTAACAACCGTTCGCCAGAGACTTTTTGATGGGAAATCTTGCATACTTCTTAAGAAAGGGCAAACATGAATTTTATAATGTTAAAATAATGGTATCTGAGAAATGTAAGATGCTTGTTATCTGAATAAAGTAGCGATAACTGTGATATTATTCGTCATAAAAGAAGTCAAAACACTGTAGTATTTGACTTCCATATAAAATACTAATTCACTATAACTGTACTCATCATTGCCAAAAAGCAACAGATGAAAAAGATGGTTCAGGTAATTGGCCAATGTGTATTTTTTTTGGATAATATAGAAGAACATCAAAATAAAAAAGCTTTTAAGAAAAACAAATAAAAGCATAATGTGCCTTTAAAACGAAAACGTTATTTTTAACCCTCGGGGAATCAATACCCCACAATCCCCTCTATACCCCCAAAGAGAATTTTACATTATTCTGAAGCTCCGCTCTTAATGTGCGACTACTTAAATAGTTGATATTTTTAGTACTACTACTTAAAGCCGCATCTACACCTAGTCAAGTTTCTTATATGTCACATTTAGCTAAATAAATGGCCCTTTCAACATATTATCAGGCACATTTTTTACTGAAATGTCTTAC